AACCTCTTGAGACAAAGTCTCAAAAATGGGTGTTTTTATTGGCGATGACTTTACAATTGGAGAATGTCTCTAAGGGGCGCAAGTACACAAGTTACTGAAAAAGAAGTGTTTAAATCTAAACTAAGAAATTTAAAGTTACATATTCTCTGTTTGAGAGTGTTTGATTCGGATTCCTTTGCTCTTTGTCTTTTCTTCCTTTTATACTCCCTGGATGATCTCTTCGTGATCAACCGCTTAAAAATTGTTTGATCGCTTTATAACTGCTCACTTTCCTTGTAGTGGCCAACTTGTCATGAAACTGCCTTCTCTAACTGCTGCCATTACTTTTGTCGTTCAACCGTCTTCAATTAAATTCCTTGAATCGTGGAACGTGATAGGACTACCCAATAATTGCTCTATTAACTGCACTTTTTGGTAACCATAATATCTTATATTTGCTAAGATGTTGGGCGACTCGAATGTTTGGATGAGAGCAGGATCACAGCTCTGGGCGATTGCATGGCAATTCATTCGCTCAAATCTTCAGCGACTTGCAACCTTGGGCGATGGTATTACCGCATTCATGGGCTTCCCTATTTGGGCCTTTATCCGGCATTGCCTGATTGGGTTGTTCTTTTGGGCCATTTGATTTTGAGGATCTTCCCATTGGACTTCATTCCTTGGGTTATTCGACTTGGGCTGAACTTTTTGTGTGTCAACAATTAGTTTTTAATATTTTTTATTTTTTAAAAATATAAATTAAAATTTAAAATAAAAAGAAATTACTAAAAAAGTACATATGTCGTGTGTATTGTTTTCGAAGAATAAAAATTCGAGATGACATGCACGTAATAAAAATTTAGTAATGCTATCTATCTAAAATGATAATCATCATGTCTACGTGACGTTGTGTATACTGTCACGTTTTGAAATAAAGAAAGATACAGTCCAACCTTTGGTGGAATTGAAATGAAAATACAAGCTAGGTGATCAAATTGCAATGAAAATATAATTTGTGTAGTCTAATTAAACAAATTAAATGACTAACACGAAATAATTACAGAAGTTGGATGACCTTAGCTGAAATTTTATCCTCTATTGAGACCCTATTTGAGCCACATTATTTAAAAAAATATATTTTTTAACAATGATTTGACATTATTTCAATCACACATTTTTTTAATAAAATAATATTACACGTAAATTTAAATTTTTTTCTTATTTTTTAATCATATATTTCCTGCACTATTTAGAAATGCATTTTTATTCTAAGAATGTATCTTAAACAAGGGCTAACTGTTGAAATTCACAGGGACTTGTCAAAAACCCTTTTCCAGTTTTCTTCCTCCCCGTCTACACATAGCAACACAGAAACTTCTGCCATTGTCAAGAAGAGTCAAAATTTCGTTGAACTTCCCATAAAGATAAACTTTTACACTCTCTGTTAGCAATCTTATTCTTTTTTCAATAATGGCTCTCGATGCTTCTGATGCTCTCGCAGGTTTGCTTTCCGTCCGATTATATAAAACATTTGTATATACGTGCACGGCTTTCTGAACAAGTACTGGTGTTAATTTTCTTTGATTGCAGTGAGGGAAAAAGTTCAGAAGTTCTTAAATGCTGCTCGGACTGGAAATCTGGACCTCCTCAAGAGTTAGGAACTTGGATTTTTATTTTTATTTTTTAATTCTTGATTCTATATCTTATGCCCTGTTCCTGGATTGCTAGTTTTAATCTAATATTTCCATGCAATTTTTTTTCCCTTACATAACATAGAATTGGGCAAACAACTTGATGATGGAAAAGGATTGGCCCATACAGTAGCTGATGTTAAGGATGCTAACCAGAGAGGGGCTCTGCATTTTGCTGCAAGGGAGGGCCAGACTGAGGTGTGCAAGTATTTGCTGGAGGAGTTGAAGCTTGATGTCAATACGAAAGATGAAGATGGTGCTTATTTATTGCCACTTATTTTATTCTTTAATGTGGTAGTATAAGCCAAGATTCTTTTTTTTTTTGTGTGTTACTCCTGTTTTGTTTTATACTCATAGTTTTATGCAATACTGCTTCTTGTTTGTTTTTCATTTCTGGTTAACCTGCAGGTGAGACTCCTCTTATCCATGCAGCTCGGCAAGGACATACAGCCACTGCCAAATACCTTGTAGAGTGGGGTGCTGATCCTGCTATACCAAGTGAATTAGGAGCCACTGCTCTGCATCATTCTGCGGGAATAGGTACAAATACAATGTCTTCCTTCATTATTTTTTTTCCTCCGATAAAAATATGAGAACATATTATTCCTAGATACACTGAGGTAATGCGAGAGGAAAATAAGAGTTGAGTTTGGTGTTAGTCGTTGAAGTTTCACTATGAGAACTTGGGAGCTGTTTTTTAGCTTTTGATATATGTTTGTTGTAAATTTGCCTTCTGATTTTGATTGTTTTGCATCCTTGCTTGCAGGAGATATTGAGTTACTGAAATTCTTACTTGCTAAGGGTGTAAATGTTGATTTACAAAGTGATGCCGGCACTCCACTTATATGGGCTGCTGGTCATTGCCAGCAAGATGCTGTAAAATTGCTACTAGATCATAATGCTAATGTAAGTTCTTATTCTACTCCATAGATTTTTTGTTGGGGGATGTGCGAGTTAACTACATCTTGTTCCATAATATCACATGCACACATCACATAGAGGAACCTGACCATACCTCAAACTCCATAGCAGATAAATCTTAGGGGATGTTAAACTAGTAGTAGGTAAAAAAATAGATTACTGTTGGGAAGATACGCATATAGATGACATTTCCACAATTCCAAAGGCTTTGTCTCCTCTATCGACTGTGTTTACCTGAATTCATTAGCATGGTTCCCTATCAATTACATTTTCTTTTGATAGGAACCTGTTATTTTGTTAATTAGAGTAACAGATTTACAATTAATAAGTGGACTTATATCCTCTATACACTCAAATAAAATATCAATATCAACTATTAACAATTATATAAAGAGAACCTGTAAAATCGTTAGTTGTAGAAGCCTGTAAAGATGCTAGAAGGTTATCCCTTTTCCATAGACCAAAGCATCTCGCCTTTTCCTTCAAAAGTCCTGCAAATTTTCTTCTGTCCATGTCACCCAGAAAGTGGTTGATACAATTGTTTTCTACATAACACCACCCTTTTCCCCGAGTAGAAACCATTTGGCTTTCCAACAAATAAACCATTGCATCTTCCAAGTGAAATCTGCTTCCTGTTATAACCTGCTCCATGACAACCTTGCAACGTCACTATCATTATAATCATATTCTTGTAGATTTCTCAGTATGAAGAAGATATGCGACACTCATCAGGTTGTGCCGTGAAAACATTATATGCTCTCTCATTTAGATACACGTGTCTCATGAGATCATCCTATTGTCTTGTCAATAAAAGATTCTTCTTTTTAACTAGATTCTTTGCAAGCTTCTTTCCTTTATCTGTTATGAAAGGATTTGTAGACATTTCCCTTTTTAACGTTACTTTTAGACATTTGATTTTGTGTCTAATCTGCAAGCTCAAACTTCATCAGTAGTATATTCTATCACCAAGTCGTCAATTCTATCTATTGTTTGATATTTAGATTTTTGTGTGTCATGGGATCATTCTATTGTCTTGTCAATAAAAGGTTGTTCTTTTTAACTGGATTCTTTGCAACCTTCTTTCCTTTATCCGTTACGAAAGGATTTGTAGACATTTCCCTTTTTTCCATTACTTTTAGATATTTGATTTTGTGTCTAATCTGCAAGCACAAACTTCATTATTAGTATATTCTATCACCAAGTCATCGATTCTATCTATTGTTTGATATTATTAAATCCATGTATGAAATAAATCTTGGTTCAAGATTCATATTGGAACATGAAATGATGTAAACTCCCTCATCTTGTTTGATATTTCCACTTCCTAGATATCCAAAATTAGCCAATCAATGAAATAAACTCAAACCCAAACGAGGTCCTTACATTCTATGTCTATTATTTATAATGATTTTATCCTAGTTTGTCATATTCAGTGATATAAATAGTATTACCGATGCTGGTGCTAATGGTTACACAAGGATAATGTCTGATAAGAAAGCCATATATTATCGAGTCTTCTTTTGCAGCCAAACATGCTAGGAATATACCAAGTTTGTCAGTTATGTGATCTCTGCAATCCCTTTTATAGTGGAATTTGTGTTAATTAGCTGGACATTATAAACTGGAGTCTGAGTATGATCAAATGGAAAAAATGAACATACTGTAAATATATTTTCCTTGAAAATGAAAATTTTGAAATTTCGTTTCCAAATATAACTGTGAGTATATTACAGAGTTTCTTTCTTGCACAGTGCGTTGATTTTCTTTCAATCACAGGACATGTGCTTCACTTTCTTCAATTTGAAGACTAGTTGTACCTTTGCATTCTTAATCTGACCCCTTTTCTTTTTGCAGCCCAATGCTCAAACTGAAGATGATGTTACTCCTCTATTATCAGCTGCTGCAGCTGGCTCATTACAGTGTTTGGGGTTGTTAATCAAGGTTAACTAACTCCCTTTCTATTCCTTATTATTACATTACTAATTTGGATGCCACCATCTATTATACTGTAGCCAGCCTTCTATAGTTGTCTACTAGCATTTCGATATATTGTTTTCATTTACCACCAGCAATGCTCCATGGCCCATGCATTCACCTTTTTATCCCTTTTATTTTTCCTAGTTGACGCATCAACATCTATGAAGGATTATGCTATTTCTTGGGCATTTGATCTCCAGTTATAATATTTGGTTTTGATCTTACGAACTTAATGTTCTAAATGACACTAGTTTTAATTGGAATAGAATATGACTCTTCAATCAATGTTCAGTTGCAATCAAGATTCAGTTTCCTGTGATTCCTGTATTCAGGACATGCATGACTTATAAGAGAGTGGTTTTCTAATCCATGGAAGTAAAAGAAACCATGTTTTTATTTTATGAAAATTAAGAAATATTAAAAAGCATTTTGGCTTAGAGTTATGCTCCAAAGCTACATCTGTCTCATTAGGGAACTCAATTCTCTTGTATCAGAAATTTTGTTAACATTTTTCATTTCTCAAAGTACAAGGATTCTCTTTTTTGCTCTTTTTTAAAGTGTCATTCCTTTAATGATTTTTTCTTTGTATTTCAACATAAGCATATGCAAGAAAGCTATGATCTTCAAGCAAGGAGAATTTTTTTTAGCGTTTGCCTATATGTTTCCTAGGCACGAGCCTATTGCACGGATCTGTGTTTAATTGTCTCTATGTGGTCTTTCTTTCTTTTAAATCTCGTCTATGTTATTAGTATGAGGAGCTTTAATATTTGTTAGCTGTTTGGTTAACAAGAATGTTCTGAATTGATGCTCTTTTTGGCTGTTAAGTGGTTCATCTTGCTTTAGAAAATCGAATAATGTTCTTCTTCTTTTCCTTTTTCACGAAAAGTAAAAGTAAAGACTTTATATGCAGTGTTTGGCACAATTTTTTTTATTAAGATTGAAAATATGATTATATCTGATGACTAAACTTAATGGGATCTTTTCTGCTGCGATGTATGCTGTCACGTTTTAACGGATAATTCATTTGCATGTTCATCAATTATGAAAATAAAAAATGCCGGATTTGGCTACGACATGTAGTTTGTTTATTTATTTGTTTGTGTTTCCCCCCCCTTTTTTTGTTAAACATACCAAGCACAATACGCACTTTCTTCTTTTTTCATACAGGCAGGTGCCAATGTGAATATTACTGCTGGTGGAGCAACGCCTCTGCACATTGCTGCTGATGTTGGTAGCCCAGAAGTCATAAACTGCTTATTGCAAGCTGGAGCAAATCCTAATGCCACAGACGAGGTAACATTCGCAGATATGTGCAAAAGTTTTTGTATTTTACTATTTATGTACAAGTTTTTAATTAGAGATTTTTTGGTCTTTCGTGTGTTCACCCTTTCAAGGTTCAAGCGGAATATTGCTACAGGATAAGTTTGAAAATACCGTCATATATCTTTATTTGATATAAGATTTCCCTGACCCTAAATCATACCGAATATTATATTTAATATGTTGGGTAGAAAAGATACTTGTAATTACTAATCACACATCCCATTTGCCAGGAAATAGTAGGAAAAAGAGTTCCGAAATGTTGGTTGCTGTTCAATAGATCAAGCTACTGCTGTTTTTACACTCACTTTGAACTGAATGCATAATCTGTGAAAGTTCCCCTTATATTTACTGCTCAACTAGCTGATTTCATTTGGAACATTCATTTTTATTCATGAAGACGTTTTCGTTGAAAATCTATCTTGTTAATGGTGGAAGAAAGGAATGTGCTTAATTACGCAATCTGCCATCCCCTCTTTAAGTTTTTGCATTTATATTTTGTCTTGCATTTTTCACCAAATTTTCCGACTCTTAACAAGACCCCATTAGCTGATGCATTCTGTAGTATGGACACTTCAACTAGAGTGATGTGCTCGTGTCCGACACGTGTCGAAACCGATGCTCCTCGAACACTTTATCATAAACATTTTTCTTTTTTTATTAAAAACGTTTTTCTTTTTTTATTAAAATTTTTATATATTTTTAATTCAAAATTATTAGTAAATAATAAATGGGTATGCATATTTAAAAGATTTCAACAAGAAAAACTAATAACGAGTATAAAACTAAATTCATACTATGGCCCTGTTTGAGCCGCATTCTTTCAAAAAAATACATTATTAAACAGTGATTTGATATCATTTTAACCACATATTTTTCAATAAAATAATATTATACGCAAATCCAAAATTGCTCCTCAACACATTCTCCATCAATTTACTATTCGAAAANGGTGGCGGAGAGAAATTCTTAAGCCCTACGACAGTGGTAGGTTTCCAGTCCACAAACCGACGAGTATAGAATTCATTGTTTGACTACAAAAATGAAAAATATAATTGTTATTCATTCCATCAAACTATCATATTTAACTTTTTATTTTGTTTGGATCTTATAATAACTATATTTTTCATTCTCATTCTTATAAAAATGGATACCAAACGAACCTGAAATTGAAAATATTTCGAATTGCCCCTCTTACTTCTAAAAATATGCAATTTACACCCTGTGGCTGTAAAATAAAGCAAATTGTGTGTTAGTTTTTCTTTTTATAGCCCCTCTATTTCATAGGTTTATGCCTTGATGTTGGTAATATAATGCTCCTTCTACGCAAGAAAAAAAATCTTTAGACTAAATGTTAACAACAACAAAATTGTGTAAAATTTTGAAATATATTTTAGGCAAGTCAAAGGATGGGGAAGAGATTAATGATAGTTTTTATTTCTTACACCACATTTGAAGTTTAGAACTTTATTCGCGATTGAACTTATGTTGTCGTCTTCATTTTTCAATCTTCCATTAATTAGAATGTATTTTCACTAATGACTCTTTCCGTCCAAAAAAGATGTATGGAAAAACTTATTCTTCCCTTATATTTTTAAATAAGCATTTGCTACAATTTATTTTATACAATTTAAAGAAGATTTTATAACGTGTAAAAAATGTCCTTATCCTTGATATCATTAATTATTTGGAATTTGCTCCTGTAACAAGGAGGCGGAGCCCCACAAATGGGGGCAGGGCCTGCAAAAAAAAAAAGGAATCTCCCCCCCTATTTGTGGGGTTCGGTCATCAGCCCCTATTGCTGTAGCGACACCTTAATTATTTTATCCAATTTGAAGAATATATCTATTCCTAATACAAACACCATAATCTCTCTTAACCACCCAAGTCTGAAGAATGATCCTTTACCATCCCCCACTTTCCCAAGAAAAAAAATGCATATATTGGTGCGTTTTTCTTTCATATGCGGGGATTCGAATGCTTCACCACGTTTTGTGCAGTTACACAATGATCAAAGTGAAGAGCCTGCATAAATACTGTAACTTCAAAATTTCAAGGGAAATATCCATTTCTAACTTGAATTTTGCTAATTGTACAACCAAGGTTGACGGTTGTACATATAACATTTTCCAAAATAAATTTTAAACAGTGATTTGACATCATTTTAACCACACATTCTTGTAAATTCAAAATTTTTTCTTATTTTTTTACCACACATTTCCCATCATTACACTATTCAAAAATGCATTTTTATGAAAATAAGACTCAAACAAGGGCAAAGTAAGAAGAATTATTCTATTTGTACAAATAATCTGTATACCAGAATGACAGATCTGAAAAAGAAAAACATTACCCACTATGTAACTGTGACATATATAAACTTGATGACATCATTTGCACCCCGGGCCCAAAACGGACACCATATGCAAAAGTTATGCTCAATTCTTCGAATGCCGACAATCCAAGCGTTACAAATATGCAAATGCTCATTCTTTCGAAAAATGGCTGAAATCCCTCTTACGTCACGACGAAGTAGTGAGTTCAATCCAAAACGGTCGCTACAATTCCGAAAAGTACTTATGGGACCAAAACGGATGCCGTATGCAAAAGTTATGCTCAATTCATCGAACGCCGACAATCCAAGCGTTCCAAATATGCAAGTGCTTAATCTTTCGAAAATTTACGAAGAATTTGTGATTTAGTGTTGAACAAACACATGTTTCTAAAAATACTCTCACTCAATATGTTTTACAATTGGGTGAAAGTTCAGTTAAAAAGATTTCGTTTTGCCTGGGAGGATGGATAATTCGTTGTGCATGTATCATGAGGTTATTCTACGGATAGCCAAACTCCGTTGGTGCATGATGCAGTTATTAACAAATGAAAAAGAAAAAATAAAGAGTTTCATGTTTAATGAGACAAGATGGTAAAACATATGGGTGAAATAATTGTGTCTTTCAGATAGAGTTTTGAACGAAGGAAATGAGTTGGTTAGCTGCATAAGAAATGTGTTATTACAAGGGTCTAGAGTTTGTCATTAGGGTAGAAGCCCAGCTGGTAAGGAAGAATTGTGGTGGAATGAGAAGGTTTGGATGGTGCATGAGGCTCAAATTAATGCTATAGAAACATACCAAATAAAAAAATTACAGAGACTTTCGAGAAATAATTAACTAAATGGAAGTTAAAAGAGGCTAGTTTAGGGGCATATTGAATATCAGATTCGTATCTAGTAATATGAAATAAGTTTAAGCTGATGTAATGAAGACACAGATCATTGTTCTTAAATTGAAGTATGTTGCTGACACTGGTTAGAAGACAGATTCTGAGTCCAATTTTTCTATTTTAAAAAAAAATAAAAAATTGACTTACTCGCTGATGATTCTTTTCACTGATGATTCTTTTCAGGTAACACCAGAGGCCAAGAAGAAAGCTGCTGAAGCAAAGGCAAGAGGTGACGAGGCTTTTAAGAGGAAAGATTATATGACTGCAGTTGATGCTTATACACAGGTTTGGTTTTGTTTACTTTACTTTCTTTATATACATCCAGTATACACAGGTTTGGTTTTGTTTTGTTTACTTTCACAAAAATGAAAAATATAATTGTTATTCATTCCATCAAACTATTATATTTGACTTTTTATCTTTTGTTTGGATCTTATAATGACTATATTTTTCATTTTCATTCTTATAAAAATGGGTACCAAATGAGCCTGAAATTGAAAATATTTCGAATTGCCCCTCTTACTTCTAAAAATAGGCAATTAACACCCTGTGGCTGTAAAATAAAGCAAATTGTGTGTTAGTTTTTCTTTTTATAGTCCCTCTATTTCATAGGTTTATGCCTTGATGTTGGTAATATAATGGTCCTTCTGCGCAAGAAAAAAATCTTTAGACTAAATGTTAACAACAAGAAAATTGTGTAAAATTTTGAAATATATTTTAGGCAAGTCAAAGGATGGGGAAGAGATTAATGATAGTTTTTATTTCTTACACCACATTTGAAGTTTAGAGCTTTATTCACGATTGAACTTATGTTGTCGTCTTCATTTTTCAATCTTCCATTAATTAGAACGTATTTTCACTAATGACTCTTTCCGTCCAAAAAAGATGTATGGAAAAACTTATTCTTCCCTTATATTTTTAAATAAGCATTTGCTACAATTTATTTTATACAATTTAAAGAAGATTTTATAACGTGTAAAAAATGTCCTTATCCTTGATGTCATTAATTATTTGGAATTTGCTCATGTAACAAGGTGGCGGAGCCCCACAAATGGGGGAGGGCCTGCAAAAAAATGGAATCTCCCCCCCTATTTGTGGGGTTCGGTCATCAGCCCCTATTGCTGTAGCGACACCTTAATTATTTTATCCAATTTGAAGAATATATCTATTCCTAATACAAACACTATAATCTCTCTTTACCACCCAAGTCTGAAGAATGATCCTTTACCATCCCCCACTTTCCCAAGAAAAAAATGCATATATTGGTGCGTTTTTCTTTCACGTGCGGGGATTCGAATGCTTCACCACGTTTTGTGCAGTTACACAATGATCAAAGTGAAGAGCCTGCATAAATACTGTAACTTCAAAATTTCAAGGGAAATATCCATTTCTAACTTGAATTTTGCTAATTGTACAACCAAGGTTGACGGTTGTACATATAACATTTTCCAAAATAAATTTTAAACAGTGATTTGACATCATTTTAACCACACATTCTTGTAAATTCAAAATTTTTTCTTATTTTTTTACCACACATTTCCCATCATTACACTATTCAAAAATGCATTTTTATGAAAATAAGACTCAAACAAGGGCAAAGTAAGAAGAATTATTCTATTTGTACAAATAATCTGTATACCAGAATGACAGATCTGAAAAAGAAAAACATTACCCACTATGTAACTGTGACATATATAAACTTGATGACATCATTTGCACCCAAATAAATAGTAAACATAAGAGAGAGGACTCGCAGTCAATGAACAAACCAAGAAACTATGGCATCTCCATAGCCCTGGCATAAAGTGCTAACCAAACTCGTTCTGCATATGCTATAATTGCAGAACTTTCTGATTCATTCCAACTGCTACTAGCTTGATTACATCTGAATTATTGAGGCACCTACTATTTCAGTAAACTGGGAATGAATTTGCTCCCTTATTTAGGCTGGAGACCAAATAGCTACCATCCCAGTAAAGTGGGTACCATCGGTGCGATTTTCTCATAAACCGATCATCGTGTAAATGGACCATATACAAACACTTCTATGTAAAAATGTTCAATGCACCATGGATTGTTTGCATAATAATCAACAGTTCATTCATTCATTAATTATTTGGAATTTGCTCATGTAACAAGGTGGCGGAGCCCCACAAATGGGGGAGGGCCTGCAAAAAAATGGAATCTCCCCCCCTATTTGTGGGGTTCGGTCATCAGCCCCTATTGCTGTAGCGACACCTTAATTATTTTATCCAATTTGAAGAATATATCTATTCCTAATACAAACACTATAATCTCTCTTTACCACCCAAGTCTGAAGAATGATCCTTTACCATCCCCCACTTTCCCAAGAAAAAAATGCATATATTGGTGCGTTTTTCTTTCACGTGCGGGGATTCGAATGCTTCACCACGTTTTGTGCAGTTACACAATGATCAAAGTGAAGAGCCTGCATAAATACTGTAACTTCAAAATTTCAAGGGAAATATCCATTTCTAACTTGAATTTTGCTAATTGTACAACCAAGGTTGACGGTTGTACATATAACATTTTCCAAAATAAATTTTAAACAGTGATTTGACATCATTTTAACCACACATTCTTGTAAATTCAAAATTTTTTCTTATTTTTTTACCACACATTTCCCATCATTACACTATTCAAAAATGCATTTTTATGAAAATAAGACTCAAACAAGGGCAAAGTAAGAAGAATTATTCTATTTGTACAAATAATCTGTATACCAGAATGACAGATCTGAAAAAGAAAAACATTACCCACTATGTAACTGTGACATATATAAACTTGATGACATCATTTGCACCCAAATAAATAGTAAACATAAGAGAGAGGACTCGCAGTCAATGAACAAACCAAGAAACTATGGCATCTCCATAGCCCTGGCATAAAGTGCTAACCAAACTCGTTCTGCATATGCTATAATTGCAGAACTTTCTGATTCATTCCAACTGCTACTAGCTTGATTACATCTGAATTAATGAGGCACCTACTATTTCAGTAAACTGGGGATGAATTTGCTCCCTTATTTAGGCTGGAGACCAAATAGCTACCATCCCAGTAAAGTGGGTACCATCGGTGCGATTTTCTCATAAACCGATCATCGTGTAAATGGACCATATACAAACACTTCTATGTAAAAATGTTCAATGCACCATGGATTGTTTGCATAATAATCAACAGTTCATTCATTAATTATATGATACAAGCAGAGAATTTGCATACAAAAATAAGAAGGATAGCCGAATTTGTGGAGAATTAACACACAATTGCATGTTTACAAATACTATTCCAGCAAGGCTGTCATGGACCACCACCTAAAGATGGTCGAGTAGGATTCAACTATGCAATTTTTTCCCTTAACAAACAGTGTATAGATACATATACTGGATCAAACAGAAATACAGACATAATCAATCATGAGGCTTGGTCCCGCTCGATCCAGCCATCATCTGATCGTCCATGCTAGGTACTGTGGTGAAGGATTTGCAGGAAATGGTTTCAGCCTCTATTCTTGCACCTTTCAACTGTTCTTGGTGCTGCATTGGTTCAAAAGAGTATAATTCTTTAGTTTAGCTTTCCAGTAAATAAACTCAGGTCGATTTTTTTATTTGTTTTAACATGATAACTGGAATTGTAAAAATTTTATCAGGCATGTACATGTCGAGTTGCCAAGCTTCAAAAGTCATGTTAAGTACGCTCAACTAGACTAGGACTAAAAAGTTTCATCAATCTTGTCTACTCTTGTTCAATTTCATCCAATCAAGTATCTACCGTCAATAGTTATAGGGCAATACCTAGTCCAATCGCTTCTGAACCCTTCATTATACGTATACGTTTGCATGAATCAACAAACATCCTGGTTAGAAAAGGAAGATGCGTTAAGTGTTTATAATTCAGAGGTAAATTTTGATGATTACTGTGTAAAAAATAAGAAGCAAACAAAAGATACTTGAAAATGTAGGAACAACTTACTCCCATGGAACATCACCTACGAGCATCCAATCTCCATCTTTGTCTTCATAAGTAGGTACACAATCAGAACCATTCAAAAGATCAATCAATTTGCTCTCGTTCATAAAGTCTTTTAGTCCTTGAGAACCACAATTACCTATATCAAGTGCAGCGATTTCTGTTAGGCCTTAGAAATTACAATGTTGATCATATATTTGTGTTAATGTTGAAAGAATATTATTATTTTCTTGTGTTTATATTCATATATTTACCAATGGTGAATGAGCTGAACATTTTGCTTAGGGCATCATATAGTTGTTGGTAGCTCTGGTACATTTTTAAGTCCACCTTACGGAGGTACGGTGCACCATCCACGCAGACTTTCACAAACGCCATGCTGCTGCCACCAGATTTGTTATCATCGGTGGCGGTGGTGTTCTTTTGGACGGAAAGAACGTTCTTTCTGAACGATCGAACTGGCGGCCATCCCACAACTTGGGCCCTGAAATCTCGAACAATTTTTTGTAAATATACTATCATTTTACTTCAAGTTAATACAAGTTTCCAATGCATCTGATTTAGCTATAGCTTGAATTTAATGACGAAAAAGATGACTCCAAAGTTACTGGGAATGAAACTTAATTTATTATTGTATTTAATCAAGCAAGCTGATTCAAGGTGAACCGAATTTCTTTAAGTGTGAGAAGAAACTAAAAAGACCAGTTCAAGTTGTTCTAGTTTGAGTACAGAAGTTTATTTTTTCCTCTCTACAGATTAGATAAACGGGGCTTAACAGTGCTTCTTCTCGGCCAATAATTCTTACACCCTCAACTCGTTTTCTAAATTTATTGCCTATGGGACTGGTTCAAGTCGACGGTATGTAAATTTTATACTTTACACCCGCTTTGAAATTACCTTTTATTTATTTGAGATTCAATACTTTTAGACAAAACTAAACAGAACTAAGAAATAGATCCATGTCTAATTCTACCCAATCTCAGCTACCACACAATTCTTCGTGGTGTCTTATCCAAATCTAATCATGTTTGCTTTATTGAATACACAATTATTAAAGGTGCATGTCTCCTCCACTAAAAATATAGGTATTAAAAAAGGTAAGATTCCATATGTTTTTGTTCTTTATTGGGTTATCCACGTTATTATCAAGCCCACTTGCACATGAACAGGAGGTCAGGTTTTAAAAGTGATCATGATTTCTTATCACTCGAGAATAAATACAAATAGTACGACAGTAGAATCAAATTGTTTCTTGGAAGGGGCATTAAAAAAAAAAAAAAAAAAAAAAAAAAAAAAAAAAAAAAAAAAAAAAAAAAATATTTTTTTTTTGAAGAAAAAAAAAAAAAAAAAAAAAAATATTTTTTTTTTGAAGAAAAAAAAAAAAAAAAAAAAAAATATTTTTTTTTTGAAGAAAAAAAAAAAAAAAAAAAAAAATATTTTTTTTTTGAAGAAAAAAAAAAAAAAAAAAAAAAATATTTTTTTTTTGAAGAAAAAAAAAAAAAAAAAAAAAAACTAACTAATAAAAGTAAAGAAACTACTAGAAAATTAGGGAAAAATCATTTATATCAAAACAAGTAAGCAGTAAATGAATCTTCTTCCAAAGTGCAACAAGAATTTAAATTTGCTATAGCATTGGCTAAACGATTTTTATTATTATTATTTTCTGTTTCACCATTTCATTAATTATTGTATCAACAGGGTATTCCAAATAAATATTGCATAATTAGCATAAAATCCATGCAAAATCATGTATGCATACACGTAACAAAATAACAAAATAAGGTTTAGCTTAATTTTCCGCAAAGTAATTTTTAAGCATGCTCAAAGCCGTAAATTCTGGATCCTCCTCTACACATTATTCTGAAAAAATCTAAAGAAAGAAAGAAAAAAAGATCAACGGTTACTAACTTGTTAGGTGGTTTAGCAGAATCAGTGGATGCCGGAATTGGATTCTTCTGTTTCATATCCTCAACTTGATTTCCATCAGAACTGTTATTCAGATTCAAATTCAAATCAACAGTTTCCAAGAATCCTCTCTTCCCGCTACTATTCCTGGATGTTTCTCCTTCATTTCCACCTCCTCCGGCTCCGGGCAAACCCAACCGCAGCTCCGTCTCCTCATAATCACCCATTATGCTCCTCATTTCTCCACAATTTCACCTATAAAACCTAATTATCTCTCTTTTCTTCCTCAATTATGCGTACAATTACAAAATTTGTTCTAGCTATTACTGGAAGGAAAAAAAGAGTAGAATTTAGGGAATTTAGATAGGTCAGAAGAAAGGAAAGTGGAGCACGAACGTGTGATGATATATAATATTGGTAAGAAATTGGTTCAGCTTAGACTTTTGGACGGGTGAGATGGTACCACTTGGAGAGTGTGGATTGTCGAAATAACCCCAGCCTGTCGGGTGAGTGACGTAATTAATGACATAATTTATGCATTATTGTATCGAGCCCAAGGGACAGAGCAGCCAGCTGGCTTCTTTTGCCTTTCTTTTGGTTGCACTTGCTTTTTTAATTTCGTTTAAAAAAAAAAAAGTTAAAAACAAAAATAAACGTACCAGGCTGCCAGCAATCACAAAAGTCACATTAAATATTAAAAAATAATAATAAATTAAAGAAAATACACACATGATAATTTGTTAGGTGTCATAGGTTATTATATCGTATCCCTTTGAAATTTTTGAGAAGATATCATAGTAAAAAAAATTATTTAAGTTCGAAATGTGTACATTCTTAAATCTTTGAAAAATAAACTTGGTCTACATGTGAGTAGAGTGTTGAGATAAAATAAAAATGAATATATTTAACGGCTTAAATTTTTAGGTTGGATAGTCAATTTGTAGTGTTATCGAAGATGCGAAAAATCTTTAATAATTTGACATTCAAATAAGAGCACCTACAATGTATTGTATGGATTGCTAGTTAGATGACATGAAAATTAAAAGCCTTTAGATCTACGTGTTATCAAGGTATAATGAATAGACTCTCATTTTCAAAATGGTTTCCAAAATCTACAATCCAATAATATAGGTCGGTGCCATCTAAATTTCCATAATAAGTATAAATTTTGCAGAGATTCCGAATCTAGTCGAAACTCTAGACCATGTCTATTTTTTCCTTTCTCAGCTTGTATTCAAGAGATATTTTTCTTTTTAAAATTGTTCATTTTTATTTATGTAATAATTTTTTGTCCTTTTTTTTTTTTTTTTGGACAATTAACGGTTGCACTAGAAATGCTCAAAGCAAAATGTTTTCCTTCGAGTGGTACTATCTACCAAGATAATTACATTTAGTGGTGAAATAAAAAAAAAATTCAATATCTTTATTAATTGGATTAAGGGCACTAGGACAATAATCATTTATCTAATATTGAATTATACTTATATAGCTTAACTTCATATTATAGTTTACCCCTTTTTTAATAATTATGTTAGGAAATGATTGTTTAATGAAAATAAATTAATTCTAACCAGAGTGGGAACAATAATGCTATGTGTACATCCGGATGTACATACAGCAAAACCGGGGTGGGAATTCGTTGATTTGTTCAGGCCATACTTATTTCGTTCTTTTCATTTATAGAAAACTCAGATTTACAAAAATAAATACATACAATTTGATCAACAGTCTACAAATAGAATAATGTTATTTGTACATCACTGTGTACATAATGATGTACAGATAGATAACATGGAAAAAGAGCGAAAAAAAGAGACTGAAAGAAAAGAAATTCAGTTATTATAATCTTTCTTTCTCTTCCATGTCATCAATTTGTATACCGTTGTGTATACAATGATGTACAAATAACAAAGTTTTATGGTTTCTTGTATTGGTATATGGACAATGGTGAGTTTTTTCTTCTTGCTCAATTTGTCAAAACACTCCTTAACTAGCGATAAAGAAAAACAAAGTAATTTTCATTTTTTTTTTGGTTGAAAAAGTCTTTTAAACCTAAAATGTCTAATTTTACTTTATTGATAATAACATTATCTTTCTCATTTCATCTCTTTCTTCACTCTCATACTAGCTCCCAATTTTACAATCCTTTTTTGTGCCGCGTTCCTGCCTTCCCTTTTTATATTTCTTGTATGTTTCTTAATACGAACTCAAAAGTAGCTAAAAAATCTCTCAAACCGCTAAACAGTTCTCTTACACTCTTCTAAAGTGTGCAATAGAAAAGGTCAAGAATGCACAATATGATAGAAGCAGTACAAAATAAAAGAAATGGTGAATCACAATAAGCAAGCGGTTTGAGAATGTAAAAGAAAACGACATGAAGTATATGTGTAGGTTAAAATTTTATTACACATATATTTACCTAAATTCATTCTTAAAATAATAAAAAATAAATAGGTAATACAAGAGCATGTTTGAAGTGAGAATTCGTTCAAAGGAAGTGGACTTGGGGGCAGATTCTCAAGCTTTATTGTGGGTGATACCGATATATTGCACATCTGCTATGAGTTATAGCTCGCGGACAATACTTTAAATCAGTTGATATCAAAGCTTGATGTCTCATGTACAAGTTGATATTGTAACATTTTTGTCTCGTATACAAGTTGATATTGGAACATTCTTGTAAAGCGAGTAAGTAATGCAAGAGTATGTTTGAAATATTAGATGATCTAAAGGAAGTGTGCTTGAGATTAATTCTCGAACTCGATTAATTTTATGTATTATATAATCAATTATGCCGAGTTATAACTTTTGAGCAAAATAACAGCGCGCTAATCAATAGGTCATCAATGGGAATGGTCTCTTGAAGTTGGAGTGTATGTCTCACTTTTTCTGTCCACCATTGTCATTAAACAAAACAAATTCCTAGTTATTCCTTGAGATGTTGGCAGCCAAACCAAGGACTGGAAATGTTTAATGGAGGGGAAAAAGTCAAAACGGAGAAAAGCATGTGCCTTAGCTTTATTGGAGCAGAGAAAAGGATGATAGGGCCCACTCCCATGTGCTGAATGGGCCATGTCACCCACCCGACACAATTGATATTTATCCTCAATTTTACAAACAAATAGATAATCACTTAAAAGCTTTTTTCTTTTACAATTTAGGCTAAATAAAACTGAATAATTAATAAATAAATATATTCGTATTTCAGTTAAGTTCAACTTATAGTGTACTCAAAGTTAAACGATTTGGTACTTGTAGCATAACCCTCCAATAGGGGGCCGCCACTTATCAATTCGATAAATAATTAGGTAAACCATTTGGTACTTGTAGCATAACCCTATATTTATTATCTCTCTCTTTGTTTGAAAATTATTACACTGTATAATAGGATAAAAGATGCTTTTCATCTCAGTGTTACTTCACTAGTTAGTAGTTACTCCCAAAGTTGAGAATGACATGAACTATCAATATAAAGTCTAAACCTTATCCCTTTTTTTTTTTATGACTATTGCTAACTTGTACCAACGCACAATAACTCGGTGACTCACCCTTCTCGGTGCCAGTGGTGGTGAGTCGGACTTAAGTGTTAGAATATTTTGTTATATATTATTTATGTTTATTTGTCCTTGTTTAATTTTGATTATTTGAGAATCACTTATCCTTCACACTCATTTTCAATCGTACATTTGTCAAAAAAATATTTTCATGTTTCTTCAAATCGTTTCTCAACTTTTTAACTACACATCCAGCAAAGAACATTTTCCGTAAGTGAAAACTCTCATTTTGCTGCTCTATAAACATACCATGTTGTGTTGTCAAGTCCAATAAGGAGCTTAACTTGACTTAATTTACACTAAAAACAGAAAAAACATAGAAAAATAGGGAAAATGACATGTCTTCACTGTGATGTCAACTGGCTGAACAAAACGTAGGGCCAATGCCCCAAATTGCCAATTCGTTCGAATTCAGAAGCACCTCACGTGTGCTATGGCCCAAGACTGACCACAATTCATACCACCAGAACAAACCACACGGTTGCATTTATTGCGTTTCTTTGGGACCTTTTCATCTTCAACTTGGTTTGAATTATTTTATTTTATTAGTCATGTCCCTTTCAACCTGCCAAAGATGCTCGAAAAGTAAGCGAAATGCAATGTATTGTGTAATTATAATTTAGAAATGAGTTTTTTCTTCTTGCTCAATTTGTCAAAACACTCCTTAACTAGCGATAAAGAAAAACAAAGTAATTTTCATTTTTTTTTGGTTGAAAAAGTCTTTTAAAACTAAAATGTCTAATTTTACTTTATTGATAATAACATTATCTTTCTCATTTCATCTCTTTCTTCACTCTCATACTAGCTCCCAATTTTACAATCCTTTTTTGTGCCGCGTTCCTGCCTTCCCTTTTTATATTTCTTGTATGTTTCTTAATACGAACTCAAAAGTAGCTAAAGAATCTCTCAAACCGCTAAACAGTTCTCTTACACTCTTCTAAAGTGTGCAATAGAAAAGGTCAAGAATGCACAATATGATAGAAGCAGTACAAAATAAAAGAAATGGTGAATCACAATAAGCAAGCGGTTTGAGAATGTAAAAGAAAACGACATGAAGTATATGTGTAGGTTAAAATTTTATTACACATATATTTACCTAAATTCATTCTTAAAATAATAAAAAATAAATAGGTAATACAAGAGCATGTTTGAAGTGAGAATTCGTTCAAAGGAAGTGGACTTGGGGGCAGATTCTCAAGCTTTATTGTGGGTGATACCGATATATTGCACATCTGCTATGAGTTATAGCTCGCGGACAATACTTTAAATCAGTTGATATCAAAGCTTGATGTCTCATGTACAAGTTGATATTGTAACATTTTTGTCTCGTATACAAGTTGATATTGGAACATTCTTGTAAAGCGAGTAAGTAATGCAAGAGTATGTTTGAAATATTAGATGATCTAAAGGAAGTGTGCTTGAGATTAATTCTCGAACTCGATTAATTTTATGTATTATATAATCAATTATGCCGAGTTATAACTTTTGAGCAAAATAACAGCGCGCTAATCAATAGGTCATCAATGGGAATGGTCTCTTGAAGTTGGAGTGTATGTCTCACTTTTTCTGTCCACCATTGTCATTAAACAAAACAAATTCCTAGTTATTCCTTGAGATGTTGGCAGCCAAACCAAGGACTGGAAATGTTTAATGGAGAGGAAAAAGTCAAAACGGAGAAAAGCATGTGCCTTAGCTTTATTGGAGCAGAGAAAAGGATGACAGGGCCCACTCCCATGTGCTGAATGGCCATGTCACCCACCCGACACAATTGATATTTATCCTCAATTTTACAAACAAATAGATAATCACTTAAAAGCTTTTTTCTTTTACAATTTAGGCTAAATAAAACTGAATAATTAATAAATATATATATTCGTATTTCAGTTAAGTTCAACTTATAGTGTGCTCACGTATTCAAACTTGAATCATGTTGATATGCGTTGTTATTAAACTTTAGCGATATTTGATTTGATCGTGAAATTTCACTTAGTTTGAACTCGTCATTTTTTTTTTTTTTTTTTTTTTTATTTAAATTTGAAAAAAAAAAAGAGTGTTCGTTGTATGCTCCGTGCCCAAGACGACGATCTTGAACCGTTTGATTCGGAAATAGAACGTACCTTCTGTAATTTAACTAACGAAACCTTACACGATAATCTAATTGGTAAAAAATGTTTTTAACGTAAAAACATATCTAATATTGTCAGTCGAGATATTAAGATGATGTAAAATTAATAAGTTTTCCTCTTTATTTTTTAGTTATAAAGAGTAAAGGGTACCAAATATTCAATTCTACCATGTTTTAATTTATCGATGTCTAGTAATCTTGTAAACTTGCTGACGGCCTCGTTCTAGACATATAATTAGTTGACAATTCCATTTATATAGTTATAATGGTATCATAGTTCCGAAATTCCTTCGACAAATTATTATTTTTTTCCAATTATATTAGTTTTATTTATGGATTAATCTATTTGTACCAAATAGATTATTTAATGGTTTACCGAATTGACAAGCCGCCCCTCCAATAGGGGGCCGTCACTTATCAATTCGATAAATCATTAGGTAAACCATTTTGTAATTGTAGCATAACCCTATATTTATTATCTCTCTCTTTGTTTGAAAATTATTACACTGTATAATAGGATAAAAGATGCTTTTCATCTCAGTGTTACTTCACTAGTTAGTAGTTACTCCCAAAGTTGAGAATGACATGAACTATCAATATAAAGTCTAAACCTTATCCCTTTTTTTTTTATGACTATTGCTAACTTGTACCAACGCACAATAACTCGGTGACTCACCCTTCTCGGTGCCAGTGGTGGTGAGTCGGACTTAAGTGTTAGAATATTTTGTTATATATTATTTATGTTTATTTGTCCTTGTTTAATTTTGATTATTTGAGAATCACTTATCCTTCACACTCATTTTCAATCGTACATTTGTCAAAAAAATATTTTCATGTTTCTTCAAATCGTTTCTCAACTTTTTAACTACACATCCAGCAAAGAACATTTTCCGTAAGTGAAAACTCTCATTTTGCTGCTCTATAAACATACCATGTTGTGTTGTCAAGTCCAATAAGGAGCTTAACTTGACTTAATTTACACTAAAAACAGAAAAAACATAGAAAAATAGGGAAAATGACATGTCTTCACTGTGATGTCAACTGGCTGAACAAAACGTAGGGCCAATGCCCCAAATTGCCAATTCGTTCGAATTCAGAAGCACCTCACGTGTGCTATGGCCCAAGACTGACCACAATTCATACCACCAGAACAAACCACACGGTTGCATTTATTGCGTTTCTTTGGGACCTTTTCATCTTCAACTTGGTTTGAATTATTTTATTTTATTAGTCATGTCCCTTTCAACCTGCCAAAGATGCTCGAAAAGTAAGCCGTTGGCCCCCGAGCATTCCGTTGAAGGCCAGCTGTAATTCCTTCTTGAATGATCCGGGCAATTTCACCGGAATCTATGGCGACCGATCTCGAGCCCCAGGTCATATTGTGAATACTCGAGATTCCTACTCTGCCAGTTGCAGGGTTTGGTGGTCTTGCTCGAGCATCAGCCATAAAACTGCCATGCTCTGCATGCGCTGGCGACGGATGTGAATTTCTTTGACTTAACAGTTGCGTGAGCGTGGCCACCTGCTGACGAAGCTCTTCAAAGGCTTCGATTGTGATGACCGCTGGCAGAGGTGTGGGCACTCCTGACGATTCTTCATGAGGAGCCGGTTGATCTTCGGTAGGTTGAGGGACGGGAGCGGATGAGCTCGCAAGGGGAAGACCTGATCATGTGTTAACCATGGCTTTTGGTAGCGTTTCCTACAGACGGCGCCAATGATGCTACCAAAAATCGTACATGTTGATTTCCTGAGCTTGATGATTTTGATTGTGCACGATCGTAATCTTCCGGTACCTGAAACAAAGGCAATAAGGTATGTTCTTGTCGTCCCTCCGATGCTTAAGTCAGAAAGGGAATTATATACGTGAGGTTATAAACTGGAGAATAATGAGAAAATGTACTTGAATAATGGCCCAAGGTTCTATATTTATAGAGCTACCAGGATTGTGCCAATTGGATGTTTTTATCCAATGGAGTCCTGTTTGAGAGGAATGTCCTACTCGTAATGAAATTGTCTGACAAGTGGTGTAAGAGTTGATATAGAGTTCTTGTGTGTTTAGGTGTTCGTTTGTGAGGCACATAGGTCTAGAAGATCTGGTAATGGAATATGTCCAGAGAACATATTCTCTAAGACCTTGGGGTGATGTTAATATTCGTATGAGTTTCCTCGAGGACCAAAATACCTCAAGGACTCGGAAGATCTCGAGGACATGTGCCAAAAAAGTGAACGAAGCACCTATGGAGTCCTCGGGTATACCAATATTGGTATCATCAGCACTCTTTATCCAGGCATTGCGGAATAGAGAAGGGCATTGCCTAAGAAAACACTACCAACGTTCATAATTCGAAATCTCCGTTGGAATTTAAGTCCTCCGTAGAGATCCACAAAGAAATGAACCTGGTAAAGCTTGTAGTCTAGACAGTACAACAAGCACGGTACATACATATAATGTAATGAAATATAATTGAATCAGAATTTCTTCAAAAAAAAAAAAAAAAAAAAGCCTTTTCGTTCTCTTTTTGATACCCTATCTATATGTAAATCATTACGTAACTCTATATATACAAAAAGCCAATAATGCACCAACATTGTTATCCCCATCTATTTTTTGAATATAGGATTTCAATTTGTACAGGAAAAATGCATAGGGAATTTCACAACCGAATAAGCAAAATCTATTGTGAACATCAAAATAAAACATTGAGGAACAGAACTTAAATAATTACTGGAGTTAATTACGGTATTAAAGTCTTAAGGCATAGGACTCGTCCAATTGTCCTTGAGACGCCAGTCCTGGAAAAAAGCAAGACAATATATAGACCAATCGACAAAGGCTAGTTCCCTAGTACAATATTTCCAAGCAAAACATGGCTAGGGCATTTTTATATGTCACACGTTAAACATAATAAATTATGTAAAAATATACAACTCAGGAATTGGACATCTCTTTTGACAAGTCAATGTAGGGGGGGAAAAACATAATCACGGCCATAAACATTCTGATCAATCATACAAGTAAAACTAAACCTACAAAAGACCAGTAAATTCTTCATGACTCAACACCAATATCGGCATTCCCCTGATCTGTGGCGTCGGAATTTTCTGTATTCACTTTCACTTTTTGTGGACGGCCCTTGACATTGCTCGTTGCATTTACACTGCGAACACCAACCCGGCTCTTGCTTTTGGGAGTTGTACTTGTAGGAGAGGGTTTGCTTTCTTTGTAAACACCTATGCTGTGACGAGTTGTTCGTCCACAAGTTCCCTTTTCAACTGGAGATGATTTCAATGCATCACTGCAGCTCTTTCTCCGGTTTAGATTTGGTGATTTGGCACGGGTCACTGGCAGCTGAAATTCAACCAAGACAGATATTTTTTTCTTTCCTTTTTGTTTACGGAAATGGGAAATATAATCAATAATGGAAAACAAAGGTGGATTCTCCATGTACCTTCTTAAGTTCAACCTTCGGGGGAGGCCCTTCACGATAAAAATTAGGAACTGGATTTGCTTTATATGCCATGCTCTTTCTAAGCTGCTTTATAGCTGCTGCTGCTTCTTCCTGCAAATTAGGATAACACAGACATTTTATATCTAGAAAATTTAGAGGGAAACAACAGAGAGCAATAAAGACCAACCTAATTAGATTTGCGAAGAACACACAAGACAAAAAAAGATCCAAAACCAAGAAAAAATTGTTATCTGCCAGCGGCAATATAATGGGAGAAGAAAATCGGTATAAAATCAGTGCCATGTAAGGAGAGGCATACCTTGGTTCTTGATTCATATTCGAGTTTCTCTTGCTCCAAAGCTTTATGTTTTTCCTCCAACTTAGTGTAAAACTATAATGGAAAATCAAACCAAGGATAATAAAATAAAGGCTAAAAAGAAAAGAAACAAAAACAAGATCATACAGTGAACTTCATTATGTAACTAAAATACCTCCTTGCGTCTCTCTAAACGCTCCATACATTTAAATGTTGGAGCCAACGGAACTGTAACTCTGGATTTACTACGTACAGATGTTGCAGTACTATGAATGATAAGGAGAAATCCAATTGCAAGAGCACACAGAATACAAGGGAACAAACTTAAAATAAGAAAGAAAGAACAGATAACAGAAATTAATAACAATCTTAAACCCAGAAAGAGGATACGAGGAAGCCAAGGACCAATTATCATCGTCATCATGATATTTCTTAACATCAGTATGCAGCATCTTGCTTGACACAGTAGGAGAGTTTGTCTGAACAAGATTGGGGAATTGCCAACCTCAGTACCAAATACAAATTCCCAGCCCAAAAAAATCTCTCTATCAATTGCATAATAATTTACATCTAAACTTAACCTCAAGCAACATAAAATCTATTACTAGTCAGACCCATTCCAAATTTAAAACCAGAATTTTACATGGCCAATTTGTGGCGATTAATGCTCCTAAATTTATATGAAGTAGGGTTGCATGAGAATGTTGTCATGGAATGATGGCAATCTGTTTGGTGCTGCAAAACTCAAGATGTTTCGTATTCTCCTTCCAAACTTCTTATCGGTGTAACTGAACAACAGACGCCACTCAACTCCATGAACTTGTAGAGCCAAACCAACTTATCATGCATCCTAGATAGTTATATTGGATAGAATCTAGAGATGAGTAGAGTATTCTATATCTCAACGTGTGCCAAACTACCAGATTCAGGTATTAACATTTCCCCTGGCTAGGATGACTTGGATGAAGTTGATGATACAGAGTTCTTAGGAAACTTAATTGAATTTGTTGTGATAAAAACAGTAGACTAAGAAAGAGATACAAACATGCCAGTACTGAAAGAACCAACTTACTAGAGAATTTTTCACAGTTTTGGGGGAATGTAGATTACTAGTCTTTGATAGATATTTTAAACCAGAATCAACTGTTTCAATCCCATTGGCATGGTTTGGAAATGAAAGTTGTTTCCCAGACTCAAAACCAGGTGCAAGCGGCTCCAAAGAATTCATATTCTTTGTCCCATTAACAGCAGACCCTGATGCCTGCTTAACTGGTGAGCTTAGATTTTTGTCACTAGACTTCTGAGCCTCGGGCTGATGATTTATGCTTTTGACACCTAGCACATCTTGCTTCTCATTATGTCCATCAGCAGGTGAGCCTTTTGCAACATGATCCTCCGCCTCGTAGTCCTTTGTTTCATCTCTTTCGGATACAACTTTTGGAGCAATGTGAACTACACCATGAAAGGTACCATTTGACTTCGCATTGACAGCATTTGGTTTCTTGTCAGTGCGTGAACCTGCAACATCCCTCCCCATCTGCCTGCATAAATTTGTGGCAGAGCATAAAAATAAAATCCCCCATTTTCCGTTACGTTCAATGTTGTTTTATGATCATATATAAGAATTTCAATCAAGGAAAAAAAGGTGGTTCCGGCATTCTTTAGGGCATATCTGGGAGAGATACTATTGACATATTAAAGTGGAGATACTGGACAGAATATAGAACTTGGGCTGACTATTGGAAAATACAATGCATGCCACCAATAAAAATCAAAAAAAGTTACAAATTTGCCATATTTTGGAAGAAATCAGTACTTATTATATCTCATAAAAGGGAATAATGGGCTATGACAAATTAAACAATACTAACGTTGCTTGCCCAAGAATATTAATAGATAGCTTAATCAGTTATATCCTATACTACAATAAAGCAAAATTTTAGAACTTTGAGAGCAACCTGACCCTCTCCCAACAAAAAAGTTACAAAAGAAAAGGGTGGGGACTTAGAGAAACACATTTATGGGCAGGGGAAATGTTGGCTCATGGCATAGTTACACCATTATCAATTTGAAAGTGGCCCCATTTGGAAAAACATCAATTTCAAAGCCAATAAGGCTCAATAACGCACACCAATCTGTTGCACTGTTAGTTCTTTATGACCATCAGCGACATGATGACATCTATAGAAATTGGAAACAATTTCAATTCTTTACACACTATTGCTGACCCAAGAGTTTTGCATATGAACATAAATGAAATCAGAAAGGAAAAATTCTAGTGGCAAAAAATACTCCTCCTTAATAGGCCAGACCAAAGTTCAAACCGGTAATAGCCTACCAATCTAAAGCAGGAGATGAAATTATAAAGCCTCCATCAAGAAGAAATCATGAGAAAAAAGGATGAAATTCCAAATAAATTTGGGAGAGGATTAATCTTATTATCATTGCAAATTGACAGCTTCCCAAGAGCACCAATCAACAGAAACTCGACCCAGCATATAATTCAAAAGCTAAAATAAATATGAAAGCACAAAAAAGCCCCGATGGCAGCCAAATCTTAAAAATCATATTCAAAATAGTTCAAAAAAAACTCCCGTTTTTCAATTTCATTCTTGCATACAAAAAATATCATAAATATCCCACGAGAAAAATATAAAATCCCAAAAAAAAAAAAAAAAAAATGCATGCATCCAACATAAAAGCCCAAATCCCTCGTTTCTCCCCCCTTTAGCAAAAAATTAAAATAAAATAAAATAAAAATAAAAATGGAGAAGACAAGATACACAACTCTCTCCCACAGAAAAAAAAAAATATTATATACAAAGGGGGGGGGGGGTAAGGGACCAGAAGAAGAGTACAGTAGCTCAGCAGCAGGCAAGAAGGTAGAGAGAGATGCGCAAATGGAAACAATTGACAAGGGAACATGCAGATCGAACCAAACAACACGAGACAATGCATGAAGTGGTTGAGAATTACAAATTTACAAGGGCTAATAAATAATTAACAAGAAGAAATTCTTACAAATGAATTTCTTCTTCTTTCTGGTTCCGATCTGGCTGACAAGATCTCCGAGCACCACCTCTACCTGCTCCCAACGTGACCCCAACTCTCTCTCTCTCTAATAATCGAATGTTTTCTTACAGCAACTTTTCCTTTTTGTTTTCTCTTGAGTTCTCTGGTTAGTCTCCAATCTCGAAGCCGTTAAAGACGGCATTGCTGCTTCCTCTTTTTTTTTTTTTTTTTTTTTTTTTTTTTTTTTTCTCTCTCTCTCTCTCTCTCTCTCTCTTTTCACGTTTCTTTTTAAAAAATATCTTTGTAGTTAAATAATTAAATTACTCCTGCCAAAAATTGGAATCTTTTCAAAACTAAAAATAATAATAATTGTTCCAATGATCACCTAATTTTGATTTCTATTTTTGATTGATCACTGAAATTTAAAATATCAAGTTTTGATCCCTGAAGTTAGATCCACGTTTTCGATTGCTCACTGAACTTAAGTCCATATCTTAAATTGTTCATTGAAATTTAAAACGTTGAGTTTTGACCACTGAATTTTGAAATATGTTGTACGTTATTCATTAGCATGATTGTTGAATTTTGAAAAATTTCGAGTTTACAATAAGTAATGTACAGTATTTTTCAAAGTTCAGTAAATAATGTATAACATTTTTTAAAGTTCAGTGATCAAAACTCGATATTTTAAACTTCAATAAGCAATTGAAGATATGAATTTAAGTTCGGTGATCAAAATTCGACATTTTAAATTTTAATGACCAATCAAAGATATAAACCTAAATTCAGTGACTATTGTAGCAATTAACTCTTCTATTTTCCTCAATTTATAGTCTATTCTATGTTCGCGTAAATTTTTAACTGGACGGAGTAATTAACGGAGTAACAGAAAAAGAACTCTGTAATCAACGTGCAACTGGGATGGGTAGCGGATTTGACTAATTGGTTAGTTGAAAATGATTAAAACCTACCAACGAAGAATTTGGTTAATTGTGAGGGTAATTAACGACGTCAATTAAGGATGAGGATTGAATAATTCTTATTAAAATGAAAAGTCAAAAAGAAGAGGACAGAATTGGGTGGTGGGAGTTGATTTGTAATTTTTGAAATCGAAAGGTGTGAGTGAGAGCAGACCAATGGTGAAAATCTGTCTGGGCCCAATTGTACTAGGATAAACATTTCAAATATTAGTGAAAAATAATAGAATTTTATATATTTATATATTATGATTTATAAGCATGTTTGGTTTGGATTAAATTTAAATTTTAATCTAAATAAAAATCAAACAATTAATATCAACCACATTTTTCATGGATCTCACAACTTTTTAACTACACATTTCAAAAACCTCTATCACAATCTACTAAAAAAATCTAATTTTAATTTCCACTAAACACCCTCTATGTAAAAGGGAATTACAGCGAGCATAAATTCATGAGTATACAAAATAGGATGTTTAGTACATATTTTGTCAATTGTCTACTATGGCTGAATAAAAGATTGATACTCAACTTTGTTGAAGTTATAATAGCTACTCTATCAATTGTGTATGCAGTATGTTTTAATCGTGGTGAGAATTAAATTTCACATTGATTGCTTTATAATTACATTAATATGTTATGGACCTCGGATTCGTGTTTCAGTTTTCAAATTTGAGTTTCGAGTTCACTTGTCTATTTTTTATTTTGAGGGTCTGTTTTGAAATTTCTAAAAACGTGTTTGACTTGTCATGTTTTAAAAAAAAAAAATTCAAAATGGAAAATTGAAAAATACGTTTAGTTTGAAATTTTGAAAAAATATTTTATTACATTTTATTCCATTAAACTTGACTTTCAGATAAAAAAAAATTGTTATAATATATTATCAAATATTATATATTTCAATAATTTGTTTGTGTTCATTTAAATTTTTTTTTTAAAGATATACAATAACTAAGGACTATTTTTTTTTCTAGAATTTTTTATAATTTTATTTTTTGAGAATTTTATTTTCCCAGAATTTTTATTTTTTTAAAATGTATCAATTTTATTTCTAGAATTTACTTTTTGAAATTTTCGTTAAAATTTTAAAAAATTAAAAATTTATTTAAACTTTCGTTTCCATGTTTTGGGTATTTTCATTGAAAACACTTAAAAAGTTAAAATGTGTTTTAAATTTTATGTTATAAATTTATTATTGGTTCAGAATCATCAGGTCAAACATGTTTTCAATATCTTTGAAAACTGAAAATGGCTTAAAAGCAGGAAGCTAAATGCCTTCTTAAAGATTTGATTTGTCAATGAATGAAATCTAATTAGTAATTATCGAGTAAAATACCTCAATACATTGGAAATCTAAAGTAAGTAAAGCAGTAAATGATTATTCCAGTTCGGAATCTAATGGACATGTGAATTCTATTGATATTAGATACGTGGGCATTTTGGATCTAATTTGGGTGGGACTTTCAGTGATAAGTACTTCGTGAAGTGTTGATGAGCATATTCACTTCATTTTTCTTATTAGATTTGTTGTATTTGCTTATATTCAATTATTTAATTAAAATAATGGAGTCCGAATGTTAATTACAATAATTTGTTAATTATAAGGTGTTGTGACTATGGCGAACATAGATTTTAATGGATATGTAGGTGACTTGTTAGTGAACAATTCATTGCAACATAGATTTTACATGGACAACTAAGTGTCAATGAAAATATTTAAGTATTAGGTAGTGGATTTGGTTTTTATTTTATTATTATTATTATTATTAATTTTTACTTTAATCGTTATGGAATCTTATATGAAGACCAACACATTTGGTGGTATTGGGCGTTATTTTGTATAAGTTAACTAAAATTACATCATACGAATATGTCAAGAATCGTATGAAGATTGATAAATGATCAATATAAGATTCATCACCCTTGCATAGCAAAAATTTATGATACGCATTTCATCTATCAACGTTGATACATTAATTTCTCGGCTCAGTGGAGTAACAAGTTAAAAGGGATTCAACTGCAACTCATGTCAACATATAGATTTTGATGAGTAATATGATTGGTTATATCGAGTTTGACACTTATTTCTGTCTCGTAATCATTTAGGTCCTATTAGATAAAGTGATTATATTTATATAGTAACCTAGCAAAATGGTATTATCATGCCACGTGAAATTTTCATGACATGAATTGTCTTAACATATTCCTAGACGACAATCTTGAACCGTGATTTAAATTGATTAATATAGGTTGATAATGATAAATTGAGAGCGATATTTTTTATTTCTTATAATGATCAAACTAGGTTAATAATCTCACGACATTTGTCATTCATTGAGAACCTGATTGATCACATACAAAAGACGAGAATTGAAATTTTGAAATTACTTGAAATGTTGTAAATATTATGTCTTACACTCAATTATTGGGTGGACTTAATAACTATTACTGGACATTTTGAATTGGGTTAAGTTTAATTAACTGAATTATTTATATCTTGAACCCAACTGGGTTAGACTTTTAACAATTTGAATGTGATTATGATTTGAGATAACCTATTAATACACGGGTTGTGTTTGGAGTTTTTATAACATTGTCTTATATTATTTGATTTGATAGCAAAAGAAAAGAGTAAAACCATCTCCTTAAATCTGACTATCCTTGTGGTGGTAAATCTTCACGTTTGTTCTTTTCGTGTGGATTATCATTGGAGACTTGAGAACTGTAGTATTTTGAAATTGTGGTACATCAAATTTGTAATCAGCAAATATATAATAGGTTTTTTTCTAAATATAAATGTGATTCTTACTACCTTCATCCTATAAAGATAATCATGTATTTTTATTTTTTTTGTCTGTACCAAATTATAGTCTTATTTCTTATTTGAGGGTGTAATTAATATATTAGTTTGCTAATATGCCCATATTTAATGTACTTTGTTATCGTAAATATTGATATTAAACAATAACTAGTACCGAGAATAGTTTAATTACCTTGAACATTGATTGCATTAATATAGGAGTATATTAGGAAATATGATGATAATTTTTTTTTTCAACTATATTAACTAAATTTTCTTAATCCGTGTGATAAAGAAACATGACTACCTTTACGGGGACAAAGGTAATATTTAAATAATGAAATATTTAATTCCATTAATATTTAAATAAATACCCAACAATTCAATCTAGCACAATGTGTCAAGAAAGTGGATGTCTATTTTTTTTTATCGATAAATATAAAATTATATTGATAAAAAACTTCATGCACAAGTACACCAGGCATTCTTGGACAAATAAAAATCATGACACATATACAAATACCTCGGGCATATTTGGGCTAGCAAAATGAGAAGATGTACAAACGACACGGTCTAGAACCCAATGCTAAAAACTCAAAGTGAATCAAAACATACGAATACAAAAAAAACGTAACTTTATAAACGTGTGTTTTGATTCGTCTCATAGTGCTATCCAAGTGTGGTCTAAGGCCATCTCCAACCACAACACCATTGCACCATTTTTTGGTGCAAAATTGCTCCAACCCAACACCAAACTTTGCACCATTTTGCACCAAAATGGTGCAAGTGTAAAATGTCAATTTTGCCCTTATTTTACATTTCCCAAATAAATTTGTTGAGGGTATTTATGTAATTTGTGCTATATATTTTTTAATACAATAAATTATTATTATTATTATTAATATTAATAATTATTTGTGTTTAAAATAAATTTTAAATGTAAGACATAATAATTAATTAATTAATTAAAAGACGAAAATAATTTAAAATACATCAAACACGATTAATTAATTATTTATTTAGTAATTTATGTATTTCTGAAATAATTAAATAAATAATATTTCAAATAAGTAGATTATAAAGAATAAAAAAAGGGAAGAAAATGGTTAAATACTGTTCATTTGGTGTAATTTTTGGTGTAATGGTTGGAGATGAATTTTAGTTTGGTGTAAGATTTGGTGCAAAATTTGGTGCAAAATGGTGCAAAATTTGATGATGGGTTGGAAATGGCCTAATGTCTTTAAAAATCTTTTTATTCCTTGCCATACATAAAGTGGAAGGCTACTTGCTCCTATTAAAGAGGGTGGTGCGCTCAATGTGAATGCCATTCATATATCGGACAAGGGAGATTTCGCGTGTTTGGTTATGACTTGTGACTATCAATAGACAAGCACGTACGTCTATGGTCAAGTCTCGTTCATATTGATGCAAGTGTCCCTACATTGCATGTAGATGCAGGCCCAATGAAAGGGAGATCTGCCTAATCCATTTGGGTCAAAGTGAACTGCTTACGACTTGAATCCACCGATTCCTATCAAAATGTTTGGTTCCTTTATGCTTTTTCTGATGGAAGATCATAGCCGGCAGGTAGGGACATTAGGCTTTACCGCGTTAGCACCATTTTTTTTTTTTCCCGATATCCAGGTATCTTAGCTTACACTAAACTAAATCCTAGACCTTCAAGACCCATGCCCCTAGAACTTTGGAGGGGGTAAATCGAGGGATATGCTTCAACTGGATCACAGGTTCCCCCCATTGACTGTACACTTCTGCGCACAAGAGAGCCTCCTCCACAGTGATTGCTCCATACCAAATTTTTGGCCGCAGGTTCCCACTAGGAATCGAACTCTCCACCCTGCCGCTGGAAGCAAGTCAATGTTAATTGATCCACCAGTTGAGCTGTGCCCCGAGGGGCACGTTAGCACCATTCTTAATTTTACATGTACAGGCACGTGTGTTCTTGTTTACAAATACTTGAGCTCCAGTTTGATGGAACCTAAACAACTTATTATTAGCTATTTTTCCAGTTCGAAAAGTCGAATCTTCAATAAAATATATTTGCAATTAACTTTCGCCCGAATACAATTCTAACATCGTCATTGTCACACGTCCATTTACCTCTTATTTGTAACAATCATGCTACAGGAATTTTGACAGAAAATTTTGACAGATCACGCAAGGTGTTTAATCATTGGAATATGGAAAGAGAGAAAAAATGTATGTTAACATTTTTTTGTATAAATGGCTTTTTCCTATTTGTGATTCCATTTTTACATTTTATTTACATTTTGAAGAGACAGAATTATTCTGATCATTCGTACATGAGATTTTTCCTAAATGTTTGTACAAGACCATTTTCGGTATTTCTTTTATTTGCGGCAAAGAATTGTATAATAAATTTTATTTACTAATAAAACCTCTACACATTCCAAAAAAATTGATTTTTATTTTTTAAATAACAAGATTTTTTTCCCTTCCTCACCATGCATTTTCTCGAAAAGTTAAAAGTAGGAGTTCATACTTTGTTCATCCAGTTTGTTTTGATCGGCCATTATCATTCACATCAGCACAATTAAGTTTATTGTTGAAAAATATAGATTGATCTGAACATCAATCTTATATGGGAATATCTTTATATTTCGTAAACAATAAATTTCTCGTACACCAATATATATATATATATATGATGTAGGCATGTAGTTCACCTGTCTAGAGATGTGACTAATTTAGCCCTTGTTTGATATTCTTTATTTCAAAATTCTTTTTTTTTACTTACTTATTTTTAACCACACATTTATACAATAAAATATTTTACACGTAAATTTAAAAATTTTCCTATTTTTTAACCACATATTCCCCAAAAATTAACTAATTAAACTGTTTTTTTTTTTTTTTTTTTTTTTTTTTAACATATTAAAAGCTATGATGGAAGGAAGTTCAGTAAATGTCTTGTTTGTATGTAATATTTTGGACTTTGTATAAGTTGAAAATGAGGAAAGAAATTAAAAATTAAGTCTAACACAAGAGAAATTAAAAATTAAGATATGCATCACATTTCTTTTCTTTTCTTTTCCTTTTTTTTTTCTTTTTTTTTTTTGAAAAGTGTGGAAACCAAAGAAAAATGACCCATTTAGATTAATAAATGATTGCTTGGAATACTAAAAAAAAAAAAAAAAAATTTCTTTTTTTTTTTG